ATTTCTAAAATTGGCAACCATAATTATTATGTTGTATGCAAAAGCTGTATTTTCTATGTAAAAATAACTTTACTGATCATCCAAAGAGCTGAGAAGTGAAAAAGAAATAAAATACACCTATACACTACTCTACTGGGTTTTTAATGAGACCACTACAAACAAAAGTATTTCACCCCTGTCTGTCGAGCCAGTGCATATCACCTAGAGTTATTTTCCTTTCAGGGCCCTCCTCTGTGTTTCCATTTTCAACCATGACCTCCAACTGACGCATGAACCTAATCCAGATATTCCTATCCTCGTTCATAAACCTGTTCCTCTGTAAATGCTTCCCCTACTTAACTGCCATCAGCATCCACCTGTCATCTAGGGTATAAACCACAGTCATCTCAAGTCATTGATGCTCACTCATCTCGCACAGATGACTAGTGAGCAAACACTGCCATTTTCTGGGACTACTCCAAAACAATGTTGAAAACAGCAGTTTGGTTAAAGGATATTTTGTGTGGAACAAAAATGAAAGGGAAAAAAAAAATCACCAGAAAAATAAGATAATATGGTTCTAAATACTGAATGGTCACAAATGAAACACTTCTTAGCTGGACTTTATCATTCAAGGTAACAGCATGTAAACTTTTTCAGAGGTGCTAAAAAACCCCCTTTTTTCCCCACCACATGCTCTGCTGGAGAAGGAGGGGCAATCTCCTCCAATACCAGTCAAGTATGATTTGACGGTATACCAAAAAATAATAAAATAAAATAAATATAAAAAGTAATTAAAAAACCCCTCTTTTTTGAAGCTAAATGTGTAACTGTTGAAAAGGATGTGACAACATTTCTCATTATTTGTATATCCTGTTACCTATTTATAAAACAATAAGATCAAATGAAAAAACTCTTGGCACCTATAAATATTTATTTATTTCCCCCACCAGAATTTAGTTTCAAGAAATGTTTTATTGGATACATATTAGAAAATATTTTATGAAAAAGAAAGCAGTATTTTAGGCTTTTGGGGCCAGAGGCAAAATCAAGGATATGATGTAGCTACTCATATAAACAAGAAAGAAAATAAATTTCCATACAGTTTAATAACAAAATTCTAAATACAATTGTAGCAATAACAGTTTACCACCTTTTTACAATATAAATCTAAGGATAATGGAGCACTATATACAGGGTTAACACCTTCACTCAATTGGGTTCAAGGTTAGTTTCCCTACCATAAAATCAAATACAAAATTTTCTCAGTTAATACTGCATGGTTCAAAATTGGGAAGGGCGTACACCAGGGATGCATCCTATCTCCATACCTTTTCAACCTATATGCAGAACAGATTATCCGGGAGGCTGGGCTCTATGAGGAGAAATGTGGGGTCAAGATTGGTGGACGATTTATCAACAATCTGCGTTATGCAGATGACACAACCCTGCTTGCTGAAACTGAGGAGGACCTGAAGCACCTGCTGCAGAGTGTCAAGGACTGCAGCCTACAATATGGATTGAGGCTCAATGTCAAGAAGACAAAGATTCTCACCACTGGACCAATTGGCAGCATCAGGATGGACGGTGAAGAGATTGAGATTGTACACAGCTTTAGCTTGCTTGGCTCCATAGTCAACAGTCTTGGCATCAGCAGCCAGGAAATTAAAAGGCACATTGCCATGGGAAAGTCTGCTGTTAGGGACCTCTCCAAAGTACTGAAGAGCAATGGTGTCTCTCTGGAGACCAAGGCGCGTCTGATACAGGCCATGGTCTTTGCAATCACTTGTTATGCATCAGAGAGTTGGACAATGACCAAGGAGGATAGAAGGAGAATTGATGCCTTTGAGCTGTGGTGCTGGAGAAGAGTATTGAGAATACCATGAACTGCTAGGAAAACAAACAGATTCGTCCTGGAAAGGGTTAAACTGGGTGGCTCCTTGGAGGCAAGGATTCTGAGGCTCCGTCTAACATACTTTGGACATGTTGTGAGGAGAGACCGGTCCTTGGAGAGGGACATCATGCTTGGGAGGGTGGAGGGACAGCGCAGGAGAGAAAGGCCCTCTATGAGGTGGGTTGATTCAGTGACTGGGATAATTGGGATGGGTGTGTCAGAGACAGTGCAATTGGCACAGGACAGAGCGGAGTTTAGGGCTGTTGTACATAGGGTCGCAATGAGTCGCAAGCGACTCGATGGCACATAACAACAACAACAACTGATAGCATATTATGATTATCACAGGAATCCAGAATTAAGGTTGCAATACTGGTTTGTAATGAAATTTTACATTTTCACATAGCTACTGTCAAATATTAATATCTGTATGACTGGATTATTTTAAGTGGATATATTCAGCATTTGGAATGCATTTGTTTGTAGAGTTCTTCGATACTCTTGGCATTTGCTTTATCAAGCAGTGCACTGCAGATTAATCACTGCTAATTGAAGGTTAAGAGGAAGCTCTTCAGTTGCATAAGAGACTTTGAAATATGGGAATTTCCTTTCTGCTTGCATTAGGGTCTCAGAAAACATGACTAAAACTGATGTTTGAGTACCAAATATCCACTGCTAAGTTTGTATGGGATTAGAGACCTTCTTATGTAAAACGTTTAACAGCAGTAACAGGAAAACAGAAAAAACAGCTAGATTTAATTATTGTGCAAATAACTTTACTACATACATATCACATAAAAGGGTTGTTCTGTCAACACTATTAAGTTGGCACCTGTGGTTTAGTAGGTTTATTGTTCAAAATGGCTTTCCTAGGCCACTGCTCTTGACTTTGCCACATGGCCAGGTGAGAACATGCAAACAGTGCATGTTAGTCTATTTATATTTATGAGAGGTTTGGTTAGTTTCATTATTCTGCCAGATTCAAACTGAGCAGGTTCAGTGGCAGAAGCCGGGAGCTGGGGGGATTTCACTACCAGCAATAAAGAAGAGACAGGGAGCACATCTCATGTTCTTCCCAGGTCAGATTTCTGCTGCAGTCAGACTGGAAACAACAGCCCAATGAAAAACTGGACACCAACATGAGATAGCAGATCTGAGCCTTCACTTAAACTTACTGAAAGATCTGTGAAGAGGGGACTGTGCTAATACATCTTAACTGACAGGCCTAAGTTTTATAACATTTGCCTAAAGCAGCAATACTGAAGGGCCTGTAAGCATGATTAGAAGCTTTCTTGACCAAGAAACTGTATCCCATTGCCAGCCTGAGTTGTAATCTCCCTAATTAATTTCCCTATAAGCCTTATGGTCATGAATAGGGCTCTATGAGGTCTGTGTAGCTAAGTCCAACAGATTTTGGACTCAGCAGAGCAGCAGGAATGGTGATGGAATCATGGGAATTGGTTTTGTGTTGTGATGTTCTTGATGGAGACAGTTCCCACTTGTAGAGTTAGTGGAGGTCAGCTATGGTCACCTTCATGCTGCCCTTGCTCTTTTTACAGCACCTAAAGCTAACGTTCAAAGCTATTCAGTATTCAGTATGTGACTGAAGGTTGTTGTTGTTATGTGCCGTCGAGTCGTTTGCGACACATAGCGACCCTATGCACAACAACCCTAAACCCTGCTCTATCCTGCGCCAACCGCACTGCCCCCGACACACCCATCCCGATTACCCCAGTAGTTGGCCTTTTTAAAAAAGTCAATCCCAGATCTGTTTTAAAAATATTCACAGTAAGACTTTACCATTTGTAAGCTATGAAACAATCAGGTGATCAGGCAAGTCAGATATCCAGCTTCTGTATCCCATAAAAATTTACAAATAATGATGGCTAGACCCAAGAGAATGGAAGAAGTTTACCATAAATACTGATTCAATAATACATGAACAAGTCAAACATATCTCAAGTATTTGCTGATGAATAATATAATGAATAACAACAGATCTTTTTAAAACCTTCCATTTTTGTAAAATTTATAAATGTGCCCAACTAATCTTCTTCTGCTCTCATCAACTGAACCACATCTTCATAGATTCCACTTCATATTGTCCATTTAGTTTAATTAAAAAAATTAATAAAATAAAATGTAATGCCTCTGAGTCTTCATGTCCTGACCTATTATGAGGGATTAGAATGTCTATTTCAATGTGCTGATCAACAGATTAGATAAGAGGATCTACATAAACTGATTATAGAACACCAACACAGGAGGTGATCAATACTGCTACCCACACTGTTGCTGTAAATTATGTGATGATTACAACACTACAGATAAAAGTGATAAAAATATCATTTGAAGAGGCAAAATTAATAGAAAAGACAGAAATAAACTAGATCCAGGTGGACAAAATAGTAATATTATGAGATTAACTCTGGTGGCCCAGAGGAGAAGGAATAGCAATGGCAACTCAAAAGCGAGCAGCTGGAATCCACCAGCAGCTCCAAGAGAGGAAGGTGGGCCATCTCCTCTTGTGCAGTCCACACCCTCTGAAAAGCTGCTGGAAGGTCAAGCTTTGACTCTTTCCAACTTGCAACAAGTTCTGGAAATTATTAAATGAACACATAAAATCCATTATTTTTACAGGAAATCTGGAAGTCAGGCCTAGAAATGTAATAAACTAACTACAATAAAATAGGAAAGCAAGAAGAACAAACCCTAAGACTGTCAATTTAAACTCACCTAAATGCTGCTAGGTCAAAACCAACTCGTAGATGACTCTCTACTGGGGTTCCAAGGCTATAAATCAAGAAGAAGACCACCACATTTCTCTCTTGGAATTGTACGTGCATTAGAACAGGTAGAGAGGCCAGACCTTTAGAGAAGCAGTATGATTCCCTTTGGCCTAGGCCCCAAGAGCTCCCTAATACAAAAACAGCACATCTAAGGATGAGAGGAAGTTGGAGAGTCAGTGAAGATGATATATAGGCAATGTGAACAGAGGAGTCAGCACAGGGATTCTGATCAACAGTCGATGAAATCTCATGGGTGTAAAAACAATGAAGACAATCCAAGTTAAAGGAAATGTAATAATTTCATGGGAAAACACTATCAAAACAGAAGATCTACTTACTGACACAGCTATCATGGTGCTATCTGGTCTCCATTCAGCTTGTGTGTAGGATCCAAACTGAGCAGATGATTTTGCAGGTTCCTTGTAGGTTACAATTAGCACACTAGGCTGGAAGGAAACAGTTGCATTTGTATTAATTAATATTCCATAAAAATAGGCACAAACAAAATTTAAGAAAACTTATTGTAGTAGGGAGGACTAGTGGCCTAAAGTGTCATCTGTTGGACTACCAACCAAAAGATCTGCAGTTCAGATCCAAAAGCTTCCTCAAGAAAGATGGACTCAGAAATCCAATGGAGTTACCATGAACTGGAACCAACTCTAGGGAAGGGGGGCCTGCCATCCTGAGCACTCTGAAAGAAGTTCAGTAATTTGCAAAGTGCAATCAAAGACAGATCATAAAGCTTTAATGAAGAGCCTGATAATCTTTCTCCAGAGTGGATGGTGGATTTGAAGTGCCCACAAAGGTTAGTAGAATTTACAATCTATTTTGGAATTTCTTTTTTAAATGTCAAGTAAGAATTCAAGTAGATTAGGGAGTGTATAAACGAACTGTACACACATAACACTACTATGTTATACAAAGCACTTCTTCTCATTCTCTAATCTGAAATGTTAGTGTTGTTACGGAGCTCTGGCACCTTAGTGGTAAGGTCACGCTGCCAACCTAAAGGCAACTGGTTTGAAAAATTTTACATAAAACAGAACGAGAAAGAAGTGCATAAACATATCTTTTTTGTTTTGTTTTGTTAATTTTAATGAAAATTTACAGGGACTTTGGATTTCCATTCGTTCATTGTTGCACTTTTCTCCCTGCCCACCCCTCCAACCCCCAGTACACTCTTCTCTTTGAAAAGTAAAAGAAAAGTTCCCCAATGTTTTACAATCCCTCCCCCCAGGTCCACTCCACTACGCAGTCTTCGTTCTGGACTTCTGACATGACAAGAATACCTAATCACATATCCCTTTTAAACAGTTCTCTCCCTCATCTGTTTCAATGCAGTATATATTATTTATCCCATTTTTGTCAGTCTCCCCCAACCCTGATGTCAGTCCTGTTTTACAACAGTGGCACTATGCAGTATTTGTCCTTTTGCGACTGAGATATTTCACTCAGCATAATGTCCTCCAGGGTCACCCATTTTGAATAATATTGCATGAGTTCCTTGTTTTTCAATGTATGCAGTATTCCATTGTGTGAATATACCACAGCTTCTCTATCCATTTGTTTGTTGATGGGCACTTAGGTTGTTTCCAACTCCTTGCTATTGTGAACAAAGCCGCGATAAACATGGGTGTGCTTATACCTGCTTGGGTGGCAGTTATGGTCTCTTTGGGGTATATTCCCAGTAGTGGAATTGCTGGGTCAAATGGTATCTCTGTTTGCAACTTTTTGAGAAAGTGCCATACCACCTTCCACAGTGGTTGCACCATTTTACACTTCCACCAACAGTGAATAAGGGTTCCAGTTTCTCCACCACCTTGCCAGCATTTGTTGCTTGCTGTTCTGTTAAATTTTACTATTCTTACTGGGGTGAGATGATATCTCATAGTTGTTTTGATTTGCATCTCTCTTAGAGCTAGGGATTTTGAACATTTCTTCATGTGCTTGTTGGCCACCTGAATGTCTTCTTTTGGTGAAGTGCCTGTTCATATACTGTGCCCATTTTTCAACTGGATTGTTTATCTTGCTGTGGTGCTCAAGTATTTTATAAGTCCTAGATATAAGTCCCTTATCTGATATGTCATTCCAAATACTTTTTCTCAGTCTGTGGCTTCCCATTTTACCCTGTTGGAGAAGGTTTTGGATGTGCATAAGGATTTGATTCTTAGGAGGTCCCATTCACCTATTTTATCCTCTCCTGGTTATAGATCATAAACATTTCTGTATACTATCGTGTGGATGTAAATTTCAATTCCCTTGAGTAAATGTTCCTAGGAGTGAAATTTCTGGGTCAAATGATGATAACTATATTTTTTGAGTAATTAATCTCTTTCCTACAATAGGTGTACTGTTTTGTATTCCCACAAGTGAAGGAAGGCTCCATAATCCTCCTAATTCCCCCTACTTGTCACTGCACCTTTGTTATTGCAGTCATATGTCAAAGCTCACTGAAAGTCTTCCTCTTTCACTGACCCTCTAATTTTCGAAGCATGTCCTTCTTCAGGCCCTGTGCCCTCCTACGCACATGCTCAAGTATGGGAGATGAAGTCTCATCATCCTTGATTCATCATTCTTGGATGCACTTCCTAGACAGACCTGTCTGTTCTTTTGGCAGTTCACAGCATATTCAATATTCTTCACCAACAATGCAATTCACAGGTACCAAAATCTTGAAATAGTGTGAGAAAGATCCAGTCATGACACAGACACAAAATGAGAATACACTGTTAGGAAACGGTGCCAATTCATGCTTAATCCTGGGTTAGCATCAACTCATGAATTTGTAAAGCATGTCATTATCTGTGAAGTGCAATGAAATGAAAGGTGCAACGGGAAAATGAAAACACTGGCTAGGCCATTTATGAGTATTGCGACCTCAGATAAACTACTTGATGTCCCCTGGGTTTCAGTTTCTACAGCTTCAAACCAAAGGCAATAATGGAATCTATTTCACTGGCTAGCAATGCATAACTAATACAGCATTTATTAAAGTGTTGGATACTTAATAATCAGTTGTTGTTGTTGATTGCCTTAGAGTCGAGTAACAAAAGGCCTGAAAGCCCCTCTACAACTATCAACATTTATCAGAGTTCACAGAGTTTCCAGAGCCATGCTTGGGTGCCACTCCTGCTCCCAAACCTCTGGCATAGAATGTCATTGGCTGAGTCGCCTGCGATCCATAGCAACCCTATGTACAGCAGGTCTGAACTCTTCTCTGTCCTGAGCCAGTCTTACTAATTCTGACACACCAACCCCCACTGCCCCAGTCACTGTATTAATCCATCTCATCCGGGGTCTTCCTCTCCTGCATTGTCCGTCCACCCTTCTGAGCATGATGTCCTTCTCCAAGGACCATTCTCTCCTGGCCACATGCCCAAAGTAAATGAGGTAGAGCTTCAAAATCCTAGCCTCCAAGGAGAGACTTGGTTTCACACTCTCCAAGACAAACCTATTTGTTTTCTTGTCAGTCCATGGTATGTTCAAGACTATTCTCCAGCACCACAACTCGAAGGTGTCTATTTTTCTTCTGTCATCTTTAGACATTTTCCAACTTTCTGAAGCATAACAAGTAATTTAGAAAACCATGGCCTGGATTAGGCACACCTTTGTCTCTAGACTGACATCATTGCTCTTCAGCACTCTGGAGAGGTCCATGACAGCAGATTTTCCCAATGCAGTTTTGATTTCCTGACCGCTGGTGTTAATAATCAGTATCTAAGATATATGTAGCTGTTTTATTATAGTTTCTGTGTCTGAGGATCACATTAGTAAAAATACTACAGAGCTAAATTCTCAACTGTTTCCTTGGGTTAATTTATTCATAAGTTCCTCTTAAGACACCAGTAACATGACTTTCTGCTAAAGTTTAAGATCTGCTCAACTCTGGCAGTACAGAGCTGGGACTTGTGCAGCTTAACAGTCTCAGGGGGGAGAAGGGATACAGAGCTGAAATATTTGAGGAAGGCCCAAGGGAACTTTCTGAGATGGCGAAAATGCTCTAAGTCTTTACTGAGGCAGTGGTTACACAGTACACACACTTTTGTCAACATTCAAGATCAACACTCCACTGCACATAAATATTATTTAAAAAAACCCTCAAACCCCAAAACCTCAAAAAAATAAAACCACACCCCCTATATGCCTTCTCTCCCCTAAAAGTCATCATTTAAATATACCACAGAGTATTTATAAAAGCAGAGAAAGTTATAGACAGATGATTTTCAAAGAAAAGTTTCTGGTTAACGAGCAGTTAAACAGAAAAGAAGTTAACAAGAAACATCTTATGTACATTCTGTTGTGTTTTTAAGTTCTGAACTGTAGTTATTAGTAATATAAAAACTAATGTTTTCAAAGTATACACAAGATACAGTTTCAGTAATATGCAACTGAAAATATCAAGGCTGAAATCTGATGGACCTTGGTCTTTGCACTGACAAGATAGCTCTTTGGGGCAAAAGCTAGCACGAGGGGGAGACCCCAACAGCAGATTTCCGCCATGTAAGAGGCTGGGTTTTGCTTAGTTTTTAATTTTACGTTGTTTACTTATAAAGTTAATATACACTGTGTTTCCCACTATCCTTCATTCACATTGTTTCATACAATCATTCCCATTAATTTTGTTTTAAAAAATTAAACACCATTGAACTATGCCCACCATTAGCGTGTCTTTCCAGATCCCCACCAGATCTTTCCTATTTCCATTACCCCACCCCGCTCCATCCACCAAACCGTGCAACCCTATGATTTCCCCATGGCCCATCCTCACCCCTCTGCTCTCCTCTCTCCCCCGAGCTCAATCCTCATACATGTTTTACTATTTATCTATTTTTAAAATAATGTCCTTATATGAAACTGAGTTAGTTTGCGCAGCAATAATGCTTTCCAATCTCTCTCAAGTCATGTAGTAATTTTCAAAATTGTTACTCCTGAATGCTGCATACTATTTCATTTTGTGAATGTACAATTTCTCAATTCATTTGATTGTGGCTGGACATCTGATCTGTTTCCATGTTCCTGAGATGGTGAATAACGCTGCTATGACCACTTGTGTACAAATCTATTTGTGTCTCAGTTCTAATTTTCTCAGGATAGCAGTAGAATAGCTGGGTTATATGCAATTTCTATGTTCAGCTTTTTGAGGAAACACTAAACTGCCTTCCAGTATGGTTGTACCATTTTACAATCCCATCAACCATCAACAGTTTACGAGAGTTCCTATCTCTCTTCATCCTCTCCAACATGTATTACTTGCTGTGCTGTTAAACTTTGCCACTGCTACTAGGGTGAGATGGTATCGCATTGTGGTTTTGATTTGCGTCTCTCATATAGCCAGTGATGTGGAGCACTTCTTTATATGCCTATTGGACAACTGAATGTCTTCCTCTGTGACAAGTCTTTCCACGTCTTTTGCCCATTTTGTAATTGGGTTATCAGTCTTTTTCTT